CTGGGTAGGACAATTGCGTCAGCATTTTGATGACGAATCATGTGGCAGCATCATGTGGCAGCTGCAATGCTTTGCAGGTAATCCACAACCAAATTTCAGCTGCAATGCTTTGCAGGTAATCCACAACCAAATTTGTTAATTGTTCTGAATATAGTACTAACATAATGATGGGTTGTAGGAGATATTTGAGTAGTTGTAATGAAATAACTTTGCAATACTCTGCCAATAAAAAGTTATATATTTGGCCAGCCTACTAGCCATAGGCTCTCTCTCGCACGCACTATGCTTGGTTCATAGGGGTACTTGTGGGTTATTACTCGTTCTAATAACAAGTAGATTTAACTACTGACATGTAATTTTAATAGATTGTTTGGCCAAGTAAAACAGTGAATGCAATGTTTTAAAGTTAATATGTTCAAATGTCAATTGTCAAACACTTAAACCGTGTGGACAAATTACCAAATATTGTAAACAAACCAAATACCGTAACCTCCGATTATAAGCCCTGGGCTTATATAAGTTCGTAAGCGTTTGTTGATGGGTTTATACATGGGGTGGGGGGTATATACAGGGGCTCACATCAACATTTTTATATGATCGAGAAAAGAACACCTGATGCCAAAAATATAGATCATTGCTTCTCACACTATAACTACAGTATTAAAATGTGCACCAATTCAGGCACGATATTGCTCAATTGTTACCCCCATTAAACCAAATGCAATATATTCTATCACTGCCACTTGATCTATCAGCAGCAGTATTAAATAGAGATCTGTAATATTTGCAGTTTTATATATATACTGTAGCTCCGAGTCACGTGATACCTTCGTACAATGGCTCTCGTTTGTTTTGATGGCAATTGGCTCTCGTGTTTCTGTTTGTTTGTTTACAATTGATGCAAATTTTATTTGAGTTGCCTGTTGCCACACCGTGACCAACACGCAAAGTGTCTGATAAATATATTGATCAGCTACAAGCGTGAACACAATGATTCCCAACACCAAATATGCACTGTCAGATTTATAAAATCAAACGCGAGCCTATATAATAGAAGAACAAATCGTCAAATCTCCTGAAAATTCTTCTTAAACTAAAAGGATCGTAGATAATACTTTGATCTTACCTTAAAAAATGACTTTACAAGAAGATATAATTCTTAAAAATCGCAATATTTGCTAAATATACTTGCCAACTTGTAAGTTTTGCCCTCGTGCTAAATCTTGGCAAGTCCCGGAGACCAGCCGGTAGCTTCCGTAAAGACTCGTGGAATATCTTCTACGTCACAAAACGTCATAAAACTGAACATCCAAACATTGCTAAATCCAAATCATTGTCGCATTCATATAGCTCGGTAAGGAGGTCTGGGAACAAATCACAAGAATAGGAAGCTGCCTGCGGCAGCAAAAAGGTTGTGACGTAGTTTGCGGAGGAAATCCCGAAAGTTAGAGTTGTTTACTTGTTTTGAGTTTTTTTAAAGCCATAAGAAGCCAGTATTATGGTAAGTTTGAAGTAAATTTTTCTATATACAGGGTGTATCAAAATAAACGCAATTCATCTTTTGTGCTTAATAACTTTCGAAATACTATTTCTAATTAAACGCTTTTAGGCTTACTTCAAAGCCTGTTCTTTTCTCTTTCAAACAAACTATTATCCTTGTCTCCAATGCTAGTAATAATTGCACAGGAAAAGATTTAGTAAAACCTATCATTTTTAGTTCCTGTTTAATTATGCAAGTTTACTATGTTATTGTTTAGTCGGTTTAAATGTTCGAATTTTCTTCTTTAAACTTTAATGTTGTCGTCACTACATCTGGAAAACCACGTAAGAACAAATTAAAAGTATTTTAAAAGAGACCAGGTTGTTTGAAAATCCTAAACGAATGCTAAAAATCGTCAAAACATTCTGGTGTCTGAGGCAGAGTGTCATCGAATTGCGATGTCATGTAAACAGAAATTATAGCAAGTTGATGTCAGTCAGCTTAGATGGTCCAAGCCAAAATTATATCGCATTTGAAGTTTCAAACTGAGTTAAAAATAGTGGAAGAAAAACCGTAATTATACTTATTGTTATAATCCATTTAATAAAATGCAACATTTTTTTGTTTTAATGAAAAAATCAGTTATTTTCATGAGAACGATTTGTTATTCCATCTCAACTTTTTTAATCTCCAATCGCAATAACGTAAAGTATTATTACCCGCGAACCAATGAGTCAAATTTAAGAAACAACCCACTGTTAGAAAGCTGAATGGCTACGCTTTAAAATGAATGCAAACTTTAAAGTTTTCGTCTATTATTTGTTTAGCAATTTACATTTTAGTCGAGGATTGCGCTTTTTTTGATACACCCTGTATAGGCCAAATGAGTTTTCATATTCGTCTTAGTTTAAATTTTATTTGATTTTTATATATTAGATTGTACATTATTTTACTATCAACAATTTAAAAGCAAATTGTTCGCTCGGTTTGTTTACATATATTTCGTTGCTAAACTAAAGTATAATTTTTCTTTTTTGTTTCTCAAATTCATCAGTCTAATCATCAGAATGGCCCCAATCAAGCTGTAGACAGCAATACACAGGCTCAGTAATCATGCAAAGAGGTCTTATTGTCATAAGTGAACTTAGACTCTGAGTACAACTTGTACACAATATTGACTCGTATTAAGACTGATAAGTCTATTATTTTTATCGATATAGTTGACAGAAAAGGACATACCCGGGTCAAAAATTGGCAAGGATATTGAAAAAGCTAGCAAAAATAACCTAAAATTTCGGCCTGAAGTGTAGAGATTTAAAGTTTAAATCTTCAGAAACGAAAGCGGAGCTGTTTACACTGATGAATTTGAGAAACAGAAAAGAAAATCGAGCGACCAATTTGCTAAATGTTCATATAACAGTAAAATAATGTACAATCTAATATAAAAACAAATAAAATTTATATGACGAATATGAAAACTCATTTGGCCTATATATATGGAAACATTTGCTTCAAACTTACCATAATACTGGCTTTTTTGGCTTTAAAAAAAAACTCAAAACAAGTAAACAACTCTGAGCTTTCGGGATTTCCTCCGCAAACTACGTCTCCGCAAACTACGTCAACCTTTTTATAAAGGTCTAATGGTGTCGACGGGGCGGGCGGAATTTTCGGAACATGGCATTTACCGAGATCGGCCAACTCACCTTTACCAGTCAATTTAGCAACCATATCCACTCAATTAACCCGCGATAAGTCACGTTTTTTCCTACGTAGTTGATCTCAGTTTTACCGACGTGTTTTCTAGAAAGTGGGAGGAGGGAGAGGAGAGGGGTGTAGTCGCATCCCATCAGTATATATACAAATTGAATGAAACAAAAAAAGTTTAATTAAAAACTGCTGTTACTTTTAGTTTCACGACACACAATCATCAAACAGCGACTAAAGTATTTACATGTTTCTTAATATATATTCATAGATTGATCAAGTACGTGCTATGATTAGGTATAAATAAATGTGTATTTAAGACTTACTAACATCCTACACAATACTATATAGATAAAAGTAAAGTTATAAAACTACATTAAGAACGCAGGAGCGCACATTCAACAAATTGCTGGGGGGTTTCGGACGATCTAGGACCGACTTTCTTGTACTCTACAACCAGAGGGGAAGCTAATAATTTCCAGCTAAGTTGGGAACCATACAGTTAAGATTTTATGCCAAGTACAAACACCGCAAGCAAAACAGGATTTAGTAACTTTAACAGAGTAGCATAATAGGAGCGGTGCATGAAAACTAGGGGCCCTTGCATGGGCATGCTTCCCCGGGGAAAACTTGCAAAATTGAGGCTCGTAAATGTCATTTCCTGCACTTTCGGTGTCACATGAATTCCCCACCCCCAGGAGATTCGCCCCCTCTCAAAAGAGGGTCAATATTCCTAGAAACATTGCCACTCCTCCTTAGGAAATTCGCTCCCCATATTACATATATGCGATGTGGTTTATTCAAATAATTTCGTGATACTTTGGTCTTATTTGTGCCCTACATGTTTGAGAATGTAACTCTGCAAAACTAAAAGCTCTTTTTGTCTTTTTTGAAACGTATTATTGGAGTGTTAGCAAGTTTTACCATTCAGAGATTTACAAACTAATATTGAAATAATGCAAGTAAAAAACAATTTCACATGCATGCATGCATGCGCGCATTCACTGATAAGTAATGACAACTTATAAGCTATATACATTTTCCGATAACGACAAAACGTGGATGCCAATATAAACAATTTTAACAATACTTTAATAATACATTTACGTGGTGTTTCCACAAACAAAAACAATAATACTTTAATAATGTTTTATATTTTATAAATGCGCTACGACGAAATGTTTCTTGGCCTTGAATGGATATGACACAGATTGTACATATATACTATATAAGACCGTCTATTTAGTTTATATTTTGAAATTCGATTAATTCCGTCATGTTTGCCTCATACAATGATAATGTGTTTCAGTCGGTTTACAGCCGAGCCATAGGAAAATAACAACACGCTGATCGAGGCGAAGGCAGCCAAGTTAAAATTTGGCAAATGTGTTACTGACTACTGTTAATAATAACAATGAAACTAAACGTATTTCTTCTATAATAATATACATAAAAATATTATTCGACTGTGATTGGTTGATTTCAGTGCAGTTAATCCCAAACAGCAGTACAATTTTCTGTAATCACAGTGCAATTGTTTGCAATTGTAATCACAATGCAATTTCCGATCCTGTAATCACAGTGCAAAAATCTGTAACAAACTGATCTGATTGGTGAAAAACAATGTGATGATAAAATCAACCAATCAGTTTAAAGCAGTTTAGTTTAAAGAAGTAACGGTCACAGATTAATTGCTTCAAAACAAAACAAACATGGCGCCGCGCTACATAAAGTGAAAGTTGACTTCGGTATGGAAAATATGGCTCTTATCTTTTTTTTTAATGGAAAAGCCTTTAACTTAAACAAGACTAACAAATCTTAAGTAGTTGAGTGGAATTTTCAAGCTGTTACCGTTGTATAATGTGATATAACAAAACCAGGAAAACTTTGGCTTTGCCAGTAAACGGTTCGCTACTAACGTAAGTTAAAACTACAATTGTATCGAACATTATTATGTAAATTATTAGTAAGTATAATAGCATGGTTTCTTGTGAAATTTGGATAAACATGCATACGTGAGTTTTTCAGACTCGTGCTATTTTGAGGTCTTTGAAAAACTCACTCGCGCATGTTATATTCAAATTGCACTCGAAACCATGCTACTAGGCCTACCTATACTAAACACAATAGAAAATGTATAGCTTATATAATTAGCCTTAGCTGATGTGGTGGTATAGTACTAAATACCATAAACACGAAAAACCATAAACACCATAGCATCGGTAAAGATAAATATACTAAATAGATTTTTAGTGATCTTTAGTCTTTATAATGAAATTAAACGGTTTGATTATAAAAGACATATAGTTTATGCGTGTATCAGTTACTAAAAAGAACAAGTTTTGACAATATCAGTGGCGTAACGTTATATCAGGAGGCCCCCGGTTCAACATTTTCGAAGGCTCCCCTAGTAGAAGTGCCAAAGGCGCAAGTTGAGCACCGTATATGCACAAGTTTTAATTTCTAGTGGGTTCAGGGCATGCTCACCCGGAAAATTTTTGAATCTAGAGTCTCTGAAATGCCATTTCCCGGATTTGGGGAGAGATTTTACAGAATTCTGATTGTCAGAAAACGACATTGTGACATGTCAGAGGCCCTAACCAATATTTTTGCTGTACAGCCTGAGCCTGGGGGGGCATTTGGCCTATATATTGGGGTTGGGGGTCCCCGGGTTCGCCCGGTCCGAGCCCATAGTATAGTTACGCCACTGGACAATATCAGTAATTACAATAACCACCACGGTGATTACTTTTTAACAATGAGTTTAATTGAGGATTAACACTAAAAATGCAAAATATGCATGGTTTGCATGCTGTGAAGCGTCATAAGTCCTACTGATCTACTATAAGCCCTTTCGATACATGTAATTGTACATTGATACTGATTTCAAATGACTAAAGCTTCTCTCCTCGCAGAGGCTTTAGTTGTCTACGATTAGTATTGAGATACATTTCACTACACTTTATACATGGCAGATGTTGGATCTTGGATCTATTTTAAATTTATACTGTAGGCTATATTCCTTATCTTTTTTATCTCTTTAAAAGTTTGAACAACCACAGTAATTACTAGCAGGATTAACCCACCTATTAGTCTGGGGGAATTAAGCTTGCACCCGGAATAAATTCCGAACAATTCACATTTGGTACGGTTATAGATGGCTTATTTTACGTAGAATAACGTAATATCAAAAGCCTCCCTGCCTACAGGCTGGGCAAAAATTGCGAGCTTAACATAAAAAAATTGCCTATTAAACTGCTATTGTCAGTAAAATTGTGAATTTTCAAGTTCATCACATAGCAAAAATAACCTATGTCACTAGAAAATTATGTAGAACTCAATTAAACGGTTGTAATATGCCGAATACCTAAACGTTTTGAATTATTTCAACTTCTATTAATTGTGGAAAATAACACAAAATTGTCAAAATATGGCAACTTTTAGTAGATTTCACCGTACAAAAATGATTAGGAATTCGGCATAACCGTTTAATTGAGTTCTACCGATAATTTTTTGCAATCTTTCTAGTGATGTAGCAGTTAATAGGCTATTTTTTATATTGAGCTCGCAAATTTTTTGCCCAGCCTGTACCTGTATACGCATGCATGCAGGGAGGCTTTTGATATGTTGTTCTACTTAAAATAATCGTACCAAATTTGAATTGTTGGGAATTTATTCCGGGTCTGCATGTTTTTTTCTGACTAATTCCCCCAGACTATAGATGTACACGTCATACCCACGCCATGACATGTACTTGGTAGAAAAATGGCGTCCTAAAAAACACGAACTTT